GGGCGGCCATTTGAAGAACGGCTCGTGTTTGATTTTATGGAGCAACCTGAAGATGGGTTCCTTGAAGACGGTGTGAACTCCTCTGGACGAACCCCCTGGATGGGGTAGCAATCCCTTCCGGGGAATATCTTCGCGCTCTTTTTCCTTTCTCTTGGGTTGGAGGGCTCGGCCTTTGTTGCTTCCCATCTCGTCCTCGACCCTTGAGTACTTGTTGATCCGGGCCATCAGTTCCCCCATATCCGAGGGGGTCTTCTTGGTCAGGGATCGGTACAGGTCCGTGTCCCTTGCCAAGCCGAGCCGGAAAGAAGCTGCTGCCATGACCTCCGAGCATCCCTCGACCTCATTGACCTCTTCCCAGTATCGGATGGCGTACTGGCGAAGAGTCTCGGATTCCCTCCGTCTGAGGGTCAACAATGATCCAATGTCCTTGGGGCGCTTACTCCCCGTGATGAATCGGGTTAGGAACTGCCTTGTCAATTCTTTCCAGGACCCAATACTGTTTGGGGGAAGCGCCTCGAACCACCTCATCGCAGAGTCCCCCAAGCTCATAGGGAACACCCGGCATAGAAACCGTTGGTCCGAATGATAGAGGGACATCATCTGCTTATATTGTCTGATATGGGCATCGGGATCAGATCGCCCATCATAGGTCTTGAACCGTGGCACGACGAACTTTCTTGAGACATCCATCTCACTGATTTCCCTCGTGAAGGGTGTTTGCATGACTTCGTCCTCGGCCTCGTCCTGGACAGTCTTACCCTTTCTTCTGGAATCTAATCGGGCTCTGAGATCTACTTCTTCCCTTACGGGATGCCTCCTGAAGTCCCTGGGTTCATGGGTAAGCCCCTCGTCTCCCGGGCGTCGTGTAGATTGGGTCGAGTCCTCCTCGGATTCATCTCCCCTCCTCCGTCTGGACAAACCTCGCCGGAGGTCGTCCAGGGCCAACGGCCTCGCCTTCCTGGAATGGTTGTCAAGATGACATTCGCCGGCTCTGGGTCGCTTCGGGGCCCTGGAGCTTTCTGCTTTGTGATCCAGGTGATTTCTCAGATCCTTTGTCTCCGCCTCATGGACGGGGAGCCCTCGGGAAAGGAATGAATCCCTCGACCCTCCGCCTGAGGCGGCAAACTCGTCGAGCCGGCTAAGGACGTTTACATTGTCCTTCTCCAGCTGACGTAATCTATCTCCAAATTTCTCTTCTATCACCTCTGCCAGCTGACGGGCCAAGGGGGCTGATCCTCCTGACCTGATCCCCATACTGGTTTGGGGGGTTACCCCCCTTGACCGAGTAGAGGCACTTTTAATCGTACTGGTGCGATCCCTCCCTCCGTGATGGCAGGGAGCCTGCAACTCATGACTTCTTTGGTGGGTTCCTTTCCCTTTCTGTCTGGTGTTCACCATGGTCACTGTTCTTTATAGAGAAAAGATTAGGAAAACTACTCGTTTCCCACAGACGGCGCCAGATTGTGCGGGCTCGATCCTGCACGATATATAAAATATTGGGAACAGATCTCTCCCCTGGTGAACTCTGAGTGAGCCGGTTGAGTGGCCAAACACGCTGCTTGAAACAGCCTACAAGGTACGGTGGCAACCTGGAATGGCAAAGAAAGATCCTGGGAAAGGAAGAACGATCCTGTACGTGTGAAAGGTATTTCCTGGAACAAAGGAGAACAAGTTAGAAGGGCGCCGGAGTGTTTTTCGGCGTATCCCCTCCGACGGTCTAGTCAGTTTTTGAATGAGAGAGAGGAAGGAGAAAACACTGAGAAGGATATTTCGTAGTCGAGAGTTTTTGATTGCATACCCGCTTTGCCTTTTGGGAGGAATATTTATACCTTAGAAACTCATGATTGCTGTCAGTGTGGTCAGTAGGTGATCCTCAGGCACAGGTAGCGTGTGTATTGATTTGATGAGGAATGTCTTCTCTAATTGACTGCTCGGGGTCCCGAGAAATCAATGCTGAGTCTGTCGGGACGCCGACGGTACAATATGCTCCTTTCGGGAAGGATGCAATAAATGCTCTGTAATAGGAGCATTTATTGCCTTTCATATCCGAACCTTACCGCATTGAATGCGGTCTCGTCAACAGAAGGGTGCAATTAATTGTTTGCTTTCCCAAGTCGCGTGCCAGCAACGGCATGCGGTTTGTCTGCTTCTGATGTGACATTATTTGCCACGCGTCCATCCCTTATTGGCTGTGACGTCGGTATTCCAGAACGTTCTGACATTACTTGTGTAAGACGAGGTCATGATGAATAGTCCAGACTGGCATAGGCTGATGTCCAGTACGTCAGTAGCTTTATCCGGGAGTAGAGGAAGCGTCCAGGATGGAGTGACCCTCGGCACCGAGGAAAGGCTTACCTCGGGGACTGAGGGTGGTATGTTTCCGAGGTACACGTGTGACCGAGGATACGTGTTTGTTGTATAATACACCGAATGTGTGATCCTATATGAGAGGTACCTCGGGGTAAAGGACGCTCTTCGCCGATGGTGCTTACATCCGGGCAACACTGTTCCAAAAACCCCGAGGACACGTGTCTTCATCTTAGGACTTTTCAGAAGAGTCCCATCAGTGGTTATTCATGTTGGAATGAATCCGATGACTCTTCCCCGAAAAAGATGACACAGAAAATATTCATCGCAGTGCATTAAATTTACCTCCAGTGTTCATTTTTCCTTCGTCCCTTTACTGTTGGAATATTTAGTGTAATTATGTACAATTTGGTTTGTGTCCGACACCTGTTTGGTAAAATGCCTCTGTCTAAGAGTATGCCTTTACTTGTATTTCTCCAAAACACTGTTCTGTTCGCCATTTCCTTTGAAAATTTTGGTGGGCTTTTATTATGGACTGAAGGTTGAAATATCTAATATGTCACTGACGATGTTTAGAGCCTGGAATTTGAATAGAGGATTTTATGGAAGCATACTTCCAAATTTTTCCATGCGTCTTACTTTAATCAACCATTTTTTAGTATTTTATAATCTTCCCATGTTTTTTTCTGGTTTGCATTACGCAAGGATGCAAGGATACGAGATACGGATATAGGGATGCAGAAAAATTCTAAAAAATAGGATACGGCTACCGGCAAGATATGTCAATAAATATATATATTTTATATTTTTTCTATTGTGTAATGACTTGATAATTATAATTTTTAATGATTCTTTAACTATAATAAACAACATTAACAATTTTTTATTTTTAAAAAGTTATCTATTCTCTCACTATGATACATCGACAAAGTGAACGTGACTAATTAAAGGAATAAAAACTAACATTTAACTATATTGTATTATTGTTTGATTAAAAGTATTTGTTGCTAAAATTGTAGAGTAATTAACTCATTTATATTCTTTGGACATGTGATAATGGATAATACTTGAAAAACACCTATTTGTCTTCTAAGTGATGAATTTTTGTTGATGTATTGCATTATATGTGAAATCAAAAGAAAAAGGTAAAGATTAAAAGTAAAAATTCTACACACTTCTCTGCATATAGAAGTAACCATAAATTTTATTTATTATTGGATACGTTTGGTGTTTATCCGATACGTATCCTTGAATGTTCGACGAATATCATATCTGGAGTATCGTATCCGATATGGATACATTGACTTTAACGAAATATCCATAAATAGGCGTTAGGTAATTCAATGAGATCAACGTTAACCTTCCTTTTTATTTATTTATTTTTAAATCCTTCATGTTCCAAAATAATGATGTTCTCTTTTTGGTAGTTTTTGTCCCACCCAGTCCCATATGCCAGGTGCCTCAACCCTACTAAAACAATACCCATATTGGGGCCAGAACCCTGTCATTACATACCATTTAGGATAAAGCCTGCCTTGGTGGTTCAATGATATTCATTAACCTCTATTTTGATGATGCATAGGCTCATTGGTAAAGAAATCAATGCTTTGTTCTTTCTGTATGAAATGAGAAATCTATGACTCATAGCATGATATAAGCAGTATAGTAAGAATCCTACTAATCTTAGTAGGATTCCAAGTAATTGCCTGTTTGCCTGCAGCGCATCAGTGGTTTACTTGTTGCATTTGAAACCGTTTGTGTTGAACGACATCCAGTTAATGGCAGAATTTTTCTTATGAGATGTTTCTTCCAAGCTGCAAAATAGATGCTTTGAAAGCTGCATATGTTTTTTGAATGTGACATTTAGTTAAGATATCATGGGAAATTGGCATCTGTCAAGAATATTTCATTGAAATTGTGCTGACATGATTTGGGAATTTTGGTGATTTTGTTGACCTACTGTGGAATAAGCTCAATATGTCATATGTCTTTCATTGATTGAAGGACCTGATTAAGAAAGATGCACAATAATGATACTGCAGTATTGGTTTCCAAGCACTTATGATTGAGGAAAATAAGAATTAGTGTAGATAATTTGAGAAAAATATTTATCTGGAAATTTCTTTGGAGAAGATCATTTGAGTATGAAAATATTCTACACGGATTTCTCCAAAATAGTTTAGGTTGAATGGGAGGTCACGCTATGAGGAGAGCTCTTATATTTGCCCTTCCCTTTGAATATTTTGATGGGCCTTTTGGCTATTTTTATTATTGTTGTGCGACAAGTTATAGATATTTGTTTGAGGGTTGTAGTATACAATTGATGATGTTTAGTCCCTGGAATTTTGAATTGAGGTTTTTTATGGAATTATGCTTACAAATTCTTGCATTCTTCTTACTTCAATTAACAATGTTTTTAGTATTTATATTCCACGTTTTTTCTTATTTGCATTAGGTTATTCGATGAGATCCAAGCTAAAATCTTCATTTTTGAAATGATCTATCTCTTTTTGGTAGTTTGTCCCCCAGCCAATCCCATAAGCCAGGCGTCTCAGCCGCACTATAATCCCATTCCCCTGTTGGCAGTTGAAGTCTGTTGTCATTCCATATCACTTAGGATAAGGCCTCACCTGTTCAATGATATTGATTAACCTCGAGTTTGGTATATAGGCTTAGTGGTCAAGACACGGATGGTTTGTTCTTTGCCGATGAGATGTGACATAGTATTTCCACACCCCAAAGCCATGCAATAGATCAAAGAAGATGACTGAAGGACTTGGTTTATAAACATGTACGTTGGGATTTGACCCTGTGTACTTTTGTATCATGGGCTTCCTGCAAATGTTTATTATTTAGCTGCTCTCTACTGGAAAATTACTAACTCAAAGAAATGAAAACTATGTCAGACATTTATTTTGTTTTTGGGCATAGTTAAGGAGATTTTGACTATTTTGTGATTTTTAAAGCAAGCATGTATGAGCTAGCTCCTATTAGGTGACCTTACATTGTATGCCAGACCAAACATTTGTAGGCTGGGTTCGTGTGTCTTTTAGCTCCAGTGAATCAAGGTGTATTTGTTAGATTAGCTGAGAGTGTATCAATTTCCCTGCCTTCTTTGGATGCTGAGATTGTATCGAGGAAATAATTGCTTTGGATGCTACATAGGTATTTTGAATTTGACATTTACTTAAGATATCGTGGGAAATTAGCATCCACAAAGCACATTTCATTGTCATGATTTGGAAATTTTGGTGGGTTTATGGCACCTTTTGTCAACCTAGTGGAGAATATGCTTAATATAATGTGTGGTTTCATTTTCTGAAGGACCTTTTTTTTTTATAGGAAACGAAAAATTTTATTATTAAAGTCAATTTACTTAAAAAATGGTTGGATAGAAATCCAACCAATTACAGAAAATCATAATCAAAAAAAACAAAAAAAAAAACACACAGCCTATATGGCACATGAAGCTGGCCATCCCGCCAAATTGCAATGGCTGAGGGGCCTGATAGAGAAAGATGCACAACAATGGCTGCAGTATTAGATTCCAGGCACTTGTGATTGAGGGAAATAAGATTATGAGGAAAATCAATTGAGGAGAAAAAAACGTTCATCAGGGGATTTCTTCAGAGATGATGTTTAATTTAAAACTGAATCCTCTGCTCTGTGGTCTCCCCCGGGCTATTGTGGTAAAAACAATAAATTTTTTTTCAACATGGGTGAAGAAAAAACACATCCAGCTGAAAGGCATGGAATCTAGATTAAGTTGTAAAATAGTCATCTGAAGTACATGAATAAGTACTCATGGTTGGATTTGATTTTCTGGTAATCACTACCATTGATGTTGCAGGAATAAAGAGATGACAATTAACTGTATCAGATCAGTGGGAAGCATTACCATCCCCAAGGAGGTAGTTGGGGTGGTAGGCCGCAGAACATTTGCCTCTGGGGGTGGTAAAGCAAAAAAGGGCTCTAAAGGTGGTGGGGCCGCTGATGCTGCAAAGGCATCAACACTAAGCAAAGAAGTCAAGTCCACTACAGTGGGTGGTGCTAATATCGTGAAGGATGGAATTGATCCTAAAATCTTGTCAGACTCTGAATACCCAGATTGGCTGTTGCACCTGCTTGATAAAAGCTCGTCATTGAGTGTATTAAGAAGGAAGAACGTAGAAACTCTCTCTTATGAGGATCTCAAATGCTTTGTTAAGCTGGATGTCAGAGCGAGGATCAAGGAGAACAACTCTGTCAGTGCTAAAAACTAACTGGAAATGTGAGAGCCATTAATTTATTTGTAAAGTTTCATGTTGGTTTCGCTTAATGTTGCCTCAGTAATTGACTGACATGTGTGGAGACGATAGAATGGAATTGAGGATAAAGCAGATGTGCTTTAGGAGATAAATTTGGGTCCTAATGTATTTTACTTTTTCTTGATAAATTCTGTATTGCTAATTAGAAGGCTATGGTTTATTGATATTAGAAAGTTTGATGTGATTTGTTGTTGCTTACAATCATCAGTTCAGTAATGTTGATAGTAGAATTATCAGTTATGCAAATATTAGGTGACTGCTNTGGTTTATTGATATTAGAAAGTTTGATGTGATTTGTTGTTGCTTACAATCATCAGTTTAGTAATGTTGATAGTAGAATTATCAGTTATGCAAATATTAGGTGACTGCAATATATTTTATTTTTCGCTGATTCTCGGGCATTTTTGTTGGTGGCCTATCAGTCCTTAGGAATGGAAGTGTTACATAGCCTTCAATTCGTTTACAGTGGATTACTTTTGGAGTGTAGGAACTGGGCATTATAGGAAAATTTTGCTTTCAAAGTGGTCTATAGCATGGTCCTTATGCACCTCTCCAATTGCACATGGATGGTATTGGAGTTGGCCTAAAGTGGCCTCGTAACGTGGTCCTTATACACCTCTTTGGAATGGCACAAGGACGTATTGCAGTCGGGCCAAATGCCTTCTAGAGCAGACAATGCAGTGTGATGCAGGACCATCACTGATTTATTCTAATATAGTAGGTGCACTATGTGGTGCAAAACCCCTCTATAATTTGAAAAGGCGGTCTAGGGCACGAGGTTTTTGCCACTGCAATTGTTTGAAAAGTCGGATGTTTGCAGCCCCAACTTGTTGCCAGGCTGGTGCGCAAAATGTTCATACAGATCCTCTGGTTTTGGTGTCAATACAAGCCTCAAAGTATAGGAGTGGCTTCTAGAGATATAGACTAGCAGGCACCAATTCCTTTATCAGTGAATGATGAGCTTGATTCATCGGACGGGCCCGCCCCAGGCTTACCGATAGGCACCACGCCACCCTCGGAAGTAAAAGGTGTAAGGCACCTTCCCTTGCCCCCCAACTTCCCAGCCAACCTAATGGATTGAATTTTATCCTTTTAGATGCAATGAATTATTACTTTCTTTTTTCCAGTTACCCGAGGAATCATCTACTTGGTGGACCATTATAAGCCCAACTTCCTATTTAAGTGTGGTCTACCGTCTACAACAAGCTATAGAATCAAAGTCCGGTGTCTTAGCTTGTGAATAATTGCATGCATTCTGCGTTTACGAAACAATCATGATTTTTAATCATCAGGCCAGTTGCATACTAGGACACAATTGGCACCTATCCAATATCTCGTTGGGATAGGGGATGGGTGGAATGTTGTAGTAGATATTGTCATGCCTTTCTTTGAGTCCATGTGAGGCAGTGGCTTTAACCCCCGCCCCCCACAAAACACACCCAAAAAAGAGAGTAGAAAAGGACTAGTGGATGCTGAAATTTAATAATAGAAAACTAAAAAAGCAAGGTAACAAGAAGGGCACTGCAATTTGACATCGCATGCATTATTATAGCTAAAAGTAGTCCATGCAATCCACCCTCTCTGATAACATCTTTATCTCTCACTACTCAAAAAGCAAAAGCTGGTCCTCTCTCACATAGTCACATGTCCTCCTACTCTTTTAGGAGAGTATTGTGCAGTGTATATGGTAATGTGTGGTCCATGTCTGTCGAGTGGCCTGAACCTGGGGCATCAATATAGTGCATCGAAACATACAAGGTCAATGAAATGGTATCTTCAATTAATCAGAATGCAAAAAGGTGTTGGTGACTATTTTCAAGACGGTAAGGTATTAGAAGACAAAGCCAATTTTCTCGATATTAAGTTCATAAAATAGCAATGTCTCTGCCTCCTCTCTCTCTCTCTCTCTCTCTCTCTCCATATGTCTTCCTTTTTCTAATGTTTTTCAGGCAAACACTGTACATTTGACGGGCANGTATTAGAAGACAAAGCCAATTTTCTCGATATTAAGTTCATAAAATAGCAATGTCTCAGCCTCCTCTCTCTCTCTCTCCATATGTCTTCCTTTTTCTAATGTTTTTCAGGCAAACACTGTACATTTGACGGGCATCCAAGAAAGCACAGACACTTAAGAAACTCCAGTCTGCGCCGTGGTGAAAGTGAAACCGGATCATATATACATATGTATTGAATCTAACTTCTGAATACGATGATATCCCATTAACTAATCAGGGACTGTTTGATCTATTGGCTATGTCGGACAAGTCGAATTGTTCCCCCCAAAAAAANACTAATCAGGGACTGTTTGATCTATTGGCTATGTCGGACAAGTCGAATTGTTCCCCCAAAAAAAAATNTATTGAATCTAACTTCTGAATACGATGATATCCCATTAACTAATCAGGGACTGTTTGATCTATTGGCTATGTCGGACAAGTCGAATTGTTCCCCCCAAAAAAAAAAATATTAGGGATGGGTCGAAGAATTAATTAACAGTACTGATGTGGTTAAAAATTGCATGGTGTATCTGCGAATAGTTCCTGATTAATTACATGTAGACCCACCACAAGTTTGCGTAATTAATTGCTGCATGTGGTTAGAAACATTCTTGTCATGCTTCATAATAAGAATTTTTTTTCCTAATATAAAATAAGATAAGTGGCGGGACTCTAGGTGGCTCTACAGCCGCCGGGTTAACACGTGGAATAATGAAGCTGTTGGGATATTCAAAATGTGCCGAGGAGGTAAGCCGAGGTATGGTGACACGGAGCAGCCGAGTACGATAGNTTCTTGTCATGCTTCATAATAAGAATTTTTTTTCCTAATATAAAATAAGATAAGTGGTGGGACTCTAGGTGGCTCTACAGCCGCCGGGTTAACACGTGGAATAATGAAACTGTTGGGATATTCGAGGAGGTAAGCCGAGGTATGGTGACACGGAGCAGCCGAGTACGATAGGTGACATCGTATTTAAGGCAATGTGACATCTCATTCATGGCGGAATGAGTGATAGTGACAAGATAAATAAATGTGCGTCTGCCAGCACCTGCCCTCTGGGAGTCTAAGCCTACTGTCATGATGACTAAGTATTAATGGCTGATGCGCCGAGACGACGTGATCGGCTCTCCCAAGGAACAGTTCCCCCCGAATATTCAATGCTCAGTTGATGAAANCAGCACCTGCCCTCTGGGAGTCTAAGCCTACTGTCATGATGACTAAGTATTAATGGCTGATGCGCCGAGACGACGTGATCGGCTCTCCCAAGGAACAGTTCCCCCCGAATATTCAATGCTCAGTTGATGTCGAATACCGATCTGGGGGATTTGGGTACTCGGGGAGTGGCATAAATGCTCGGCATTTGACCAAGCATTTACCCCATTTTCCTAGCATTCAATAGGAGGAGACGTGAGTAGAAAACACTCATTGCACGAGGAATGGTATGTTAGATGTAAGATTTTCAGATGCGACTGGAAATCTTTGGCAATCATTGCTAATTCAGGTATAAATATTCCTCGGAAAAATGGACAAAAGTACGCAAATTTGAATTAGAAAAATAGTCTATTGAGCAAAATATTTCGACCTTATACTGACTTAAGCTTCGGAGGAGATTAGCCGGGCGCTCGCCTGGCCCCCTTTTTTCTGACCCTGTTGCTTCAGGTTTGCCAACTGGGAGATCGTTATCTCATACTATTGCAGGAATTATCCCGTGCAATTTGGCGCCGTTTGTGGGAACGAAGACATTTTTACAGGTAGCGATCGTCTGATGGTGAACACTCGATCTTAGGGTGAGGGAGTAGGTGTACGGGCCAGGAACGCAAAGCCCTTCCGGCTTCCAATGGTTCTGCAGCCGGGTTCATTAGGCCAATCAAATGGGGTAGGACATTCTTCGCAAAGAACGCTCTCTATGGATTAGGGCCTTGGGGGGCGTGACCTCATGACCCATAACATCATTGAGATGGTGGAAAAGTGGATGGGCAAACGCATTAAGCAGCTTGAAAGGGAAAACGTCAAAGTCCAGCAACGTCTTGACGATTTCGAGCAGTCAGCGAGCGCGGGTGAGCATAGTCACAGGTTTGGGGACTAGGTGCCTAGCCAGAACCTGTCCAGACCCCCTTGGCATTGGCTCTCCAGGAAAGATTGGATTAGGCACTTGCCCGAGGGATGTAACCGCCAAGGAGGGTTCTTAGTCTCCAAGGGGAAGTCGAAATCGGGCCAGAAGGCAAGCCTGTCTAGGTAGGACCTGCGCCGAGGGGTACTCATGGGCGTCGGAGCCGCCGAATCACAAGCGGAGTCCATACCCCGAAGGCCAAGATACCGAAGAAGTTTACCATCCCACGGTTCAAAGTCTATGATAGGAAAACCGATCCTGAGAGCCACCTTCGGCAATACAGACAATTGATGTTAATCTATGATACTGACCAAAGGGTGTTGTGCCAAGTTTTTCCCATGAGCCTAGGGGACACGGGCATGAGGTGGTATGAGAACCTTGCTCCTGAGAGCGTTAAGTCCTGGAAACAATTGACGAAGCTCTTCATAACTCGATTCATCACCAGCAGTAAGAAACCGAAGGATATCGGCGCTCAATTAACGCTTAGGCAGAAAGGGAGAGAGACACTCCGATAATATGTCGTCCGGTATTGAGATGAAGTGAACAAGGTAGAGGCATGTTCGGAGGCATTGGTCGCGGTGTCATTTAGGCTGTGGCTGTCCTGGGACACTGATTTGTACAAATCGCTGACTAAGAAAGCTCCGGCAGACATGAAAGACTTGATGGCTCGGATTAACAAATATGCCCGGGTGGAGGAAGGATCCGTCGCGCCCGAAAGATGGGTCATGGTGCCAAGAAAAAGGGAAAGGGAGCAACCGGCCCAAAGGGAAGGACCTATTCCACCCCCAACTCACATATCCTTCCAAGGAGTGAACACAGTCTTCAACGAGCCCATTCACAGGATACTTCCCAAAATCAAAAATAAACCTTACTTCAAGTGGCCCCCGAGGATGTTTGGAGACTCGTCGACAAGGAATGCAGCCTTCCGTTGTTCGTATCATAAAGATATCGGTTATTTGACGGAGGATTTCAAGATTTATAAATTCTTCCTCGAACAATTGGTGCGAGACGGACACCTCGGGAAATTCATCGACAGGGGTCGTCCCGGCTGGTCGGCGAGGGAGCGAGCT